TGATGGGGTATATATCCATTAAGTGGGGAGGGGGGAAGAGAGAGAGAGAGAGAGAGAGAGAGGGGAGGACATAAATTGTGGGATAAAGATTCTAGAAGAGAGCAGCGTTCGCGCTTGGTTAATCTTTGATTGAGTGGTTCACGACCGGCTAGGGCGTTTCTTTTTTTTATTTTTTTCCATTCCTTTGGGGCAATTCTTTCATTTTTTATTACAATTTTTTGGTTGTTTTTCTTGCCCTCGCCCTGGCGATTCTGCTCTGATTGCCCCTCCGCTCCACAGTACATCCCGGTAAAAGACTCGTACCTGGCAATTTGTCGCTCCATGTTTTATTCTGAGGTGACAACAAGGCAGTTTTATGTGGGCATCACCATCTTTCGCTCGCCGGCTGATCTTCTTTCTTTGGTTTCTTCACTCGTATCGTCTATCCTGGTGTTTGTTTTTTCTGTGCCTGCGACCGTTAAAGCCTAAAATTCCTACAGAGGGCGAGGCAGAGTGGATAAAAGCCTCTCTCTCTCTCTCTGTGTATGTGTGTGTGTGTGTATGTGTGTGTGTGAGTGTGTGTGTGTGTGTGTGTGAGAGAGAGAGAGAGAGAGAGAGAGAGAGAGAGAGAGAGAGAGAGAGAGAGAGAGAGATGTGTAAGTGTGAGGTACTCAATCGAGGGACTATCATATACCTTCATCGTGGCGGATGGTGGGGTTCGAGTAATGCGAGATCTTTGTAGATCTTGCTGTTCAACCATCAAAGTAAATAGAAGGTCGTCATGTTAAAAATGAGAGATGAAAGAAAGTCGTTTTGTTTCTCATGTTGTTGACATTGATATTGATATGCTCGCGTTGCTGCGGACCAGAGAACCAACCAAGTTGAGTCCTCGAGCGTGTTGGGGCTAATGGTGATCGTGGAGTCTGCTCCACCCATAATGTATATATGTATATATATCGTCAAACAGAGCTGCTGCCTACGGTAAACCGTAGAGGCAGAGAGGGAGGGAGAAGGAGAAGAGGACAACAAACGAACGAGGGAGGGGGCTGTGACAAACTGTTTCGTCGGACTGTTTCACCGAGTATATGTCTATATATTGTTACGTGATATATGTATATATGTAGCAGCCGCCGCTCAACCTACATCCACGTGGGCGGCCTTGTACGCAAGAGGTTCTGAACAGGGGGAGTTGTAAGGAAGAAGATTAAAAACGAATTTAAGATTTTTTTGTTTTTTTGGTTTTTTCGCTTAGGCGCTCTGATATCATGTGACAATATATTGTCACACTGGAAATCAGAGCGCAAAGGCGGAAAAAGACAAAACAAGAAAAGGAAAAGAAGTAAGGAAGGAAAGCCCCACCTGACGACCTAGATTATGGAGACAACGATAGTGTCTACTATTGCTATGAAGCTAGCTATTGCGATAGTGGTGGGTATCTCCAAGAATATGCTGGAGTACCAGCTTTGCCTATGCTATGATGTGAGATTAGCTGCTTTCGTGTTCAGCCTATTAGTGAAGCTTTCTTTTTCTCGCTTTCATTTCCTCATCCGCCTCCCCTTCCTCTTCCTTCTCTCTCTCTCCTTGGCCCTGTTTCGTTTATCCTTGCCCATTTGTCCCTGTTTCGTTTATCCTTGCCCATTTGTCCCTGTTTCGTTTATCCTTGCGCATTTGTCCCTGTTTCGTTTATCCTTGCCCATTTGTCCCCTAGAAGACGCCGGTACACCACCTTTGCCTCTGCTATGATGTGAGACTAGCGCCTTTCGTGCTCTGCCCATCAGTGAAGCGTTGTCTCTCTTTCGCCCCTTCGTTTCCTCCTCCTTCCCCTCCCCCTTCCCCTCCTTCCTTCTCTCTCTCCTTGGCCCTGTTTCGTTTATCCTTGCCCTGTTGTCTCCAAGAATACGCCGGGACACCACGTTTGCCTCTGCTATGATGCGATACTACCGTCTTCTCCCGAACATAACGCACCCTAAAAATGAATGTATACAAGCTATATTTCCGCCCAGATATCGCCAAAAAAGGGTGCGTTGTGTTCGGGGGACGACGGTAGTGCCTTTCGTGTTCAGCCCATTAGTGAAGCATTCTCTCTCCCCTTCATTTCTTCCTCCTCCTCCTCCTCCCCCTCCTCCCCCTCTCTTCTTCCTTCTCTCTTTGGCCCTGTTTCGTCCATCCTTGCCCTGTTTGTTGTCATCTCATCACATGATTGGTTGCGCGCCGAAGGGAGTCAACAATTGCTCTTTGTTCCAGCCGCTTCCAATTCGACCCTCTTCTCTCTGTTTTTTTTTTTTTTTTTTTTTTTTTTTGACCCTCTTGTCTCTGTCTGTGGTTACTCCACACTCTCTCTTTTTTCTACATGCGAAGTGTGGAGGAGGGAGTACCACGTCGTATCTTGCCTTAAGGAATTCATGAGGTGAGCGGAAAAGGATCTCTTCTTCAGCCTGAGTATGCGAGAGGATTATTAAGTATTGTATATTATTTGAAAACGATCTCGGACTAGTTGAAAAATATATTGGATTTTCTGGAAAATGATATTGGGTAATCTAAAAAGGAGTATCTGAAAAGGATATGGGATTAAGGATATGGACGATCTGAACAGCATGATGCATGATTTATGAAAAGATATACGATTGTCCTTGGGGGGACATCCGTTAAAATTTGGAAGGATACAGAGAGAGAAGATTAGCGTCGCGCCTGCGCAATCATGGATGACACGCATAAATCGAAGATGGGTCCAAAATACCAAAAAAAAAAAAAAAAAAAAAAAAAGATTTTCGATTTGCTGGAAAGGATTTTTGTTCTGTCGATATTCGATTAGCTGAAAAGGATATTTTATGTCATCTGAAAAAGGGGGATATGTGGAACCAACGGGCCTAGCTCAGTTGGTGCACCCCCCCTGAACTGAACTGTGGAAGTAGAGACCCCATTTCGAACTCCACTGGAAACAACCGAGTGACATACCTTTATCTTTCCCCGCCCAAAAAAAAAAAAAAAAAAAA